GAGTAATTACTCGAGTAATTACTCGAGTCCAGAGCAGATACTCGAGTGTGGACTCGAATCTTAATATGCTGGACTCGCACACCTCTAGTGCACAGGGTGAAACAGATGTGACCTTGAGAATATTGACCTTGCCATTGCTCAGCCAATGGGAAGGGCATCTTCGCACTGAAATAGTAATGGGAATTCCCGCTTTAGTTATCAATCGTTTATTATCAATCAGGAGTTCTCCTCTTTGAGAGTTCTCTTGATATAATGTAGGCTAGGCCTAGATCTAGATCATTTTAGTTTTAGACCTAGATCTAGTTATTCTAATCTAGATCTTCTAATCTAGATCTTCTAATCTAGATATTGATAGATCTAGTTTTCTTTTTTTTTTCAACACGGTAAAATAACTCGTCTTCTGACAAACTCAGGATTTAGTCCCCCCCCCCCCCCCCCTTTACACATTATATTGACATAGACTACATCTCTCTGACTACATTCAGACCTTACTAAAATATGTTCAAAGTCAATTGAATTCACGCATGGTTCTGTCTCTGCAGATTGCCATAGCAGCATAGCTGTAGTTGTAGGCCTATAACATTAATTAAGGTTCGTTTTTTTTTTTGGTAGACTTAACTGCGAGAAAATCCCTGCCATTGGTACAAGTTCTGGAAAATCGGCCAATCATTAATTAATTGTGAATGTAAGAATCTAGCAAAAGGAATAATCCATAATGGGTAGAGTCAATCTTTTTTTTTTTTTTTTACAGGTGAACAAATAGGGTACCAGTAAGACCATAATATAAAATTATTAAGTTATAATTGAAAGGATCGTGTCACCAGCGCATCAAGAAATATGTGTAAGGAATGTTTTAGTTTTAGTAGAGAGGTTTCCCGCGTTTCCGTTGAAATTGGGGTCGGGGAATTTGGTTGGAAAGCAGACAAACAAATGGACAGTTGGGGAAAAAAAGAATGGATATGAGGATATGAGGAAAGCGCCAAAATTATGGGGTCCTAGATGAGGGGGGGTATACTTTTACAGATAATTTGATATATTATAAGCCCCCCCCCCCCCCCCCCCCCCTCCCAAAACAGTTTTCCTTACGAAGTATGAACAGCAGAACATTGATTGAAATACCAACGATCGGCCTTGCCGTGAGCTTGCAAATCGTAAGCTTAATTAGGGGCGAGAACGCATTAAATTTGTCGAAAAGAAAATATTACTTTTGTTAGTTCCCTTGAATTATACCCGTCGTTGTCGGGGTCTCCCAGATAATTTTGGCTGTTTCTTTTTTTACGTCTTATGTCATGACCCAGAAAATAATTTCATTCATTCAGCTATTTTTTTCGTAAGAGTTTTACAGCACTTAAAATACAATAGGGTTATAACATAAGTGCTGAAAGAAAACACAAAAAACGAAGGAAAGATCAGTCTGATAGATGTTTCATAAGAAAAAAGGAGCAAACAACACTAAAACACCCACCATCCACCCGTGTGTTGGCTCTTTTGGCTCTTTTTAGGTTCCAAACATTCATTAAAGAATGGTAAAAAGAAAGAACAGACAAACGTATAGGGGAGAGTATGGATTGCTGACAGTGTATCTGATTTCAACTCGCGCCAGCGTTGGAACGTTTGTTTACACTCGTATCACGGGCCGCCACGCACTAAGACAAGGTCACGCCCAAGTCTCGCTCGGACGCGAGATATAGGGCAACAAAAACAAAGCATCTCTAGGCCTACTACAAGGAGATTAAAAGTAATGGAGGATGCTCTGTGGGCGGCACCGCACGCCCGATAGGAGCCCTCTCTCGCGATTATCTTTATAATTTGGTATTTTGATAATTTTATGTTACTTGAACAAGTTTACTTCTTATTTTACACATCTTTTTGATTTTTAAGCTAGATTATAACATAAAACTCTGAAAGAATTGAACAGTCCGTATCACACACAGAATTTTTTTTTCTCCCTGTCATTATCCGTCAGCCCGTCAGTTGATCACAATATCTCTCTCTCTCTCTCTCTCTCTCTCTCTCTCTCTCTCTCTCTCTCTCTCTCACTCTCTCTTTTTCTTTCTCTCTCTCTCTCTCTCTCTCTCTCTCTTTTATTTAATTTTTCCCATTCTCCTTCATCCCTTCCCAAGGCCCGCCCCTCCTCTTTCATCCATGCCCCATCCCCTTTTCCTTGCGTGCATTCCCCCACCCCACCCACCTCCACAACGTGGCCCAGCCCGATAAGATTCTATAAAAAGAAACGCCACAGTTCGAGATTTAGCCCACACTCGGCGGCCATATTTGATCCCCACCGCGGCGTACTGCTCGTGGCGCCGCGAAGAGAGAGAGAGGAGGCTCCCATTAGTTCTAAACTCCTTGGCCTACTACCAAGATACCTTGCAATCCTTCTTTGGGCTTTTGTCCGACGCAATGGCGGGCCCGCTTTGACGCTTAGCGCGTGGGGGGCTACGTCACTAGGAGATGCGAGGTTGGTTTCATCGCCAACTGCTTGGAATGTGTGTGTTTTGTTTGTTTAGTATAGGGTTTTACGGCCCTCGCAACTGCATAAGGTCATTTGAGCACGCGAAACACAAGTTAGTTTTATTCACAACAGTTTATTGTACCGGGTACAGCTGGCTTGGGTCAGTACCGGTAGTTAAATCTTAAAATGTTAAAATGTTTTAAAAAATCAGTGTAAATAGTTTATTTTTTTCATTCTAAAACAAATTTTCTAGTTAAAACAAAAATTTTAAATAGTACAATTTCACTTTATAATTTGCCATAAAGGCCATTGATTGATTGAGTAGATGTTTTACGGCACTACCGACACAATTTTGGTCATTTAAGCGCCAACAGGTTTCACCGCAACAAAATCAGACGTTTTTTTAGTAAAAGTTTTTCGGAGATCGCAACCGCACACGGCCACACTATTTTCATTATGATAAAAAGACGGACAGACATTTATGAAAATTTTTTGTAAATGTGGAAAAGACTTATTTACATATGTATATACAATAATAATTTCCGTGTGTGTATATATATATATATATATATATATATATATATATATATATATATATATATATATATATATATATATATATATGTACACCGATAACGATAACTATATATTTTCATATTCTATTAAATAGTCCAATTTCCTTTACATAACTTAAAATTGTTCTAGGGTATACAATGCCAAAAAAGGTTTTGATATTTTTACATTTAAAGTATTTCTTACGAACATCATTAAATTCGACACATTCCGTTAGGATGTGCCGAACTGTGAAATTTGTGTTTCACGCCACGCAAAAAGGAGCTTTCTCTCCTTCGAGTTAATGTTTGTGCGTGATGTGCGTGTGTCCTATCTTAAATCTTAGATGTGGTAGTACAGGGTTTTACGGCGCTCGCAACTGCGCAAGGTCATATGAGCGCGCGAAACACAAGTTGGTAGCATTCACAACAGTTTACTGCACGGTTTGTCGACAATTAGACTTTAAAATGCTAAAGTACTAAAA